CACACCTGCTCAGGCTAGGCACTCCTAGCCCCAGAGGCAATCAGGCCAGTGAGCACTACAACTCCCAGTGTGCTGTGCTTGGTTGTGTGTGTTGTGCCTGCTGGTAGTTGTAGATCCCGCAGACTGCGTTTGCCAGACGCTGCCCCAGGGCCCTCCCTTTCTCACCCAATACTGGGCTCCTCTTCAGAGAGCTAATTAGGTAGTGGTGATTTAGTTAAAGCTCCCAATTGTTGGTAGAACAAAGTGCTTTAAAGGGAATGTGTGCCATCTAGGTCCCTTCACTGTAAATCTGACACCAGTGAAGGCTGTTCTGGAACTGGTAAGTAAAGCAGCTATAGGTACTCTACCCTCCAGATTGCAGCATCTAGCAATAACTGGGAAGTTGGGAAGGGATTGAAGGGATGCATTCACACCAAAAATCACCATCAGCCCCAAGTTCTCAAAGTTGCCTCTGAGGCCTACACTGGGTGGAGGTGAGCGGATATTTCCATGTTGTGGAAAAAGTAGCTACTGAGAGGAGAGGGAGAGAGAGACCCAGCTTCACAGCTAGACTGGGCAAGCTAGTAATTAATTTCAACTTGATCAATTTCTGAGCTCATAATGGGTGCACATAGCAAAGATGAGTGATGAAAAATATTTCTGTTAAAAACTTTTTTTTGGTTTTTTTTGGTACTGGGGATTGAACTCGGGTCCTTGTGCTTGCAAGGCAGGCCACTGAACCACTGAGCTAAATCCCCGGCCCAAAAACACTTTTTAAAAAGACACATATGGCTATGGATGAACCCTGAAGTGTATCTAAATTGTTCCCATATGCACATAGCTCTGTTGCTTGCCCTGTGCTGAGTACTTTCATGTGTGATCTGATTAATCATAACAAATCTGAGTTGGTGTCTGCTGGTATACCATTTTGCAGACAAGGACAACAAGGCTGAAGTTGTCATCCCAAGCCTCTAGCTAATAATTTATGTGGCTGGCATTAGGACTCCGGTCATCCTGGGTTCTTAGCCTTGCTTTCTACCTGCTGCTCCCTGAAACTGACCCTGGACCTGGACTTGTTACTCAGACCTGGTCATCACAGACCAGAGCCTAATCAGCTTCCCAAGATACCTTGCGAATGGTGGACAGGTGCCCCTTGAGATGGGCAGGGCAGGATCTGGCTGCATTCGGCTTAGCTAGAGGCTGTCTAAAGGTCTAGCGGTTATCACTCATAACCTTGTGGAAGCCAGAGCAGTGTCTCAGAGTTGTAGCCCCAGCCGTAATAGCAAAGACAAAAGGCAGGGACTTGGGTCTTGGTCTGCCCTGTCTAGGGCTGGGCAGATAGAACAGGCTGCCTCACTTTGTTTAAGGCAGAAATGGAGCCTGGAGCCTGGAGCCTTAGGTGGGGTGCCTGCCTCTCCTCCTGCCTGTCAAGGCACTAGCCATAGTCTGCCTACTTCTTCCAGAGAGGAATCTGACACCAGGAGCAAGAATGGTTGTGCATCTATGTATTACTGTCCTGTTTCTGCCGCCTCCTGACATCTGGCTTTGGGTAATGACATAATTTGTCAGGCCCCTCATCTGTAGAAGGGGATTAAATCAGCCCTGGAGTTGGTGGAAGAATTAAATAATATTTCTAATAATTATGTAAGTAAATATTTGTTTTCTGCTTGTGTTTGTTTTGAGACAAGGTCTCACTGTGTAGCCTAGTCTACTCTTGAACTGGGGGCAGTTCTCTTTCCTCAGCATCCTAAATGCTCAGATTACAGGCCCCCGCTACACATGTCCACCAGCACACCACAACCAAAAGTAACACCCACTGAGACATTAACTCTGTGAGAGGCGCCATGCTTGGCACATGAAATACTTGACTCCCTCTCATCTTCACCACCCCTTCTGAAGCAGGTATCACACATTGCCCACAATTAACAGGTGAGGAAATGGCTCAGAGAGGTTATGGAATTTGTCCTGCCAACTTTGAACTCCGCAATCTGATCCTGGACTTGAACTGCCATGCTTTCAGTCATGTCAAGTGCTATCTGGCTTTTGTGGCATCCTTTCCTTGAGGAGTGCCTCTCAGGAAACACATCTTCGTTATGAAAATTTGACATTGCTTTGACACCCCCAGAGCTTGGCTGTAGACACGTTTATTTTTATTTATTTATTTAGAGACAGAGTCTGGCTGTGTAATTGAGGCTGGCCTTGAACTCACTATGTAGCTCCAACTGGCCTCAAACTCACTGTGATCCTCCTGCCTCAGTTTCCAGAGTGCTGGGATTAGTGTTATGTGCCACCACGCCTGGTGACATGTTCTTAAATGGATAGATGCTGGATGGATGGCTCCTATTTCCTTTTTTGTTTTGTCTGCTGGGAAGCTCAGAGCCTAATTTAGGGCCCATTTCTTTTACCCAGACCTTCAACTATTTGTAGACTCTCCTCAAGCTGATGTTCCTCTTGTTTTTCTCATGTTTTCCTCTCAACCGGATGTCTTTGCCTCATGAAATTTGTAAAATTGAGGTGGGGAATGAACTATCCTGTTAAAAAGCCTGGCTACAGTAACTACCTCACTTAAGCACTGAGTGAGAGTAAGGTGTGGCACCCACTCCTGAGGAGCAGGCCTCCCTTGGTTTGGACACAGAGGGCAAGCACCTTAGGAAAGTTGTGGACTCCATGCTGGGGAATCCAAGTGAATGTGTGGGTGAGTCCATGATGCACCCCAAACCTCAAGCCAGCAGTGCTGTTATTTTATGTTTTTATTTTTGGACGTGGGAGAATAGGTTTTTTAAGACAGGGTCAGACTAGTGCAGGCTGGTTTTGAATTCACTGTGTAACAGGCTGGCCTCAAACTCTCAGCGATCCTCCTGCCTCAGCCTCCCAAAACAGTCAAGAGCCACTGTGCCTGACTTTGATGATCTGATTTTATCTTCATAAGAATGCCACACATTAGGTAATACAGTGTTAATTTTCTTTCAGTTACAAATAGAGATGTCTGATATCATGCTACAGGGAGGAACAGAGACTCCAGGAGGCTTAAAATTGGAGAGACAGCTGAAACGCATTCAAACTCTGGCCTCTCTCACTTTAACTGTCTGTGCCCCTTCCTTTCATCTGAGTGGGGTGGAGGCTTCCTGCCCTGGGGGGACAGCAATCTGAGCAGAAACCAATTTAAAAAAGGTTTGGCAGAGAGACAATGTATTGGTTTAGTAACTGAAGAATCTGGAGCTGGGGTTGGGGAGTGCACACTTGTAATCCCAGCACTCTGAGAGGCTTAGGCAGGAGGATCCAAAGTTTGAGCCCAGCCTGGGCATCTTAGCAACTTAGTGGGCCCCTGTGTCAGAAAGGGAAAAAAAAAAATCTGGTAGTGGATAACATCAGGCATGGTTTCCTCCAGAGGCTCAGACAAAGTCTCAAGAAATCCATGTGTCCATTTCTTAGCTCTGTTTTACTTAATCTTAGATTATCAGTCAGATTGTTGGAAGGCCCAGAGTCACTTTCTTAGAAATCCCACCAGCCAGGAAGTTTTTGTTCGAAATCATTCTAACAAAAGGCCTTTGAGACCCATTGGTTCTTTTTTTCTTTTTCTTTTTTCTTTTTTTGGCACCAGGGACTGAACTCAAGACCTTGGGCTTGCAAGGCAGGCATGGTGTCACTGAGCTAAATACCAGGTCCAGAAACATTGGTTCTTACTGGCCCAGCTTTGTCACATGCCTAAACCAGATCCAATTGCTGTGGCCAGGAAGAAATAGTGATCTGATTGGCCAGGCTTCACAACAGCCCCAGTTTGGAGTGCGGAGAGTGGAGAGGCTCCCAAAGGGGAACCCGCGTGTTGGTACCCGAGGAAGGGCCGCTGGCATCTGAAACATCCTGGCCCAATGCCAGGAGACAGAGACAGTTTCTATTGGGTGGGCAGGGAACACAGGGAGTGAGGTGAGAAGGAAGACTCCAGCAGGGGAAGCCAAGGGAAGGGCCCAGGCGAGTGAGAAGGACCTGTTGGCTGCTCCCCCATCCTCCCCATATGATAGAGTCCGGGCCCTGTGTTAGAATGACACTCAGCTCTGTGCTCTCGGGGGTGTGGCACGGTCACTTCCCCTCTCCGAGCCTTGTTGTGTAAGGGACATGCTGATGACACTCTGCCTCTCCGGTGACCTCAAACGTCAGAGAGCACACAAGGTACAGCGCACAGTAGGTTGGCACTCAGTGAGGGAGGCACAGGGCAGCCCTCACCGGGACTTTCCTGGGTCATGAAATGCAACTTCCAGGATTTGCCTCTCTGATCTCTGCGGGAAGATCTGGGGCTCACTGAGCACCTGCTTGTCCACAAGACAGTCTCCCTTTGGACACCAAGGGGCTCAACACCCCACTGTCTAGAAGAAGGCAGGATACGAGGCTGGTGATCTTGTACTTGGGCCCCCTGCTTCCTGTGTGGCTTGAGGATGGCTGGACCTCAAGGATGGATGAGAAGGTCCCCCCTGGGAGGACACTGGCATCGGCACACTGTTGAAGCCAGCCTGGGGGGATAAAGCCCTGGAGAGTGGCTGCCCTTTGAGGCCCTCCGTGGAGGGGACAAATACCAGCAGGTGAGGGAGGGCTTCACTCAAGCCAGGGCGCCCTCACTCCTCTGCCTGAACCTTTTGGGGTGTCCTGAAGTCTCTGTGTTTGATTGTCACACCCTTTTACTGGTCCTTCCCTGACCTATCCTCAGTCACCCAGACGGTTGCCCTATCACTGAAGACTCCTGAGGCAGGGAGGGCACAGAGGCCTGGGACTCCCCTCCGCGCCACCTTTCCCATCTATGGTCTGCCACTCAGCTGTACCTTATTCCCAGGACCTCTAGGTATCCAGGCCCCTTCTCCTGTGGCCTGGCCTCAGGTCCCAGGAGCCCCGTGAGCCCTGCCCCTTGGTCTCCCTCCTGCCCCACCCTCAGCTGTGGCTCCTCCTGAAGATTCAGCCCCTTGGCGGGAGGTGTGGTTCTGGTAGAGTTAATGATTGTTCAGAAGAGGCGGAGACGGTGCCAAAGTCTGCCTTTGTAGGGCTGCTGCCGGCCTCATACAGTGCCTGACTGTGCCTGCAGTGCCCATTGCCATCAGCCCCTGTGGGGCACACTGGTCCGGACTGCCTAGCTTAGCTGCGGCACCAGCTCCCGGAGCTCCTGGCCAGGGGTAAGGCAAGGTCCTTAGGGCCATGGTAAACTTGGGAATCTGTAATGACCCCCCTCGCTGGGGGGAAATGCCCAGTGCATAGAGCCAGCTGTGGCGGGGGCTAGATGGACTTGGGGTTGAGTCCCATCCAGCTGCGAGATCTCTTCCGGAAAGCGGGGATAATAACCTCTTCCCAGGGTTCTGGGGGCCTTGTCCCCTCCCTTCCAAGTCCTTGGGTAATTTGGACCCACTGAGGAGTTGTTACAGGTTGGAGAGTTGGTGGGGTGCCCAGGGAAGTGAATTAGCGGATCTGAGTCTCACCCTTGAGGGTGAGGCCAGGTGGCTGAGCCCAAGGGGCCTCAGAGCTTGAGGAGTAAAGGCCAGGTGCTGGGCTTGGGTCTGAGCTTTTGCCTTGACTCGGCCTGGGCTGCTTCTTGTGGTCCTCATTTCTTCAAAGTGTGGTGAGAAGCTGCAGAGTCCCTGCAGCAGGCTGAGCTGGGTGCTGTCACCCTCCCAGGCTCAGTGACGTATTCCAGTGCCATCTCTGCCAGGACACAGAAGTGTCAAGCAGGGACCAACTACTGACTGGGCCCTGAGCCTGAGGGGAAGACTCAACCAAGAGCTTTGTCCCTAAGTCAGGGACTTCTTCTGAGGTTGACATGAGGCACAGGGCTCAGTGCTCAGTGAGCACTGAGGTTCTCTGGCTTCTTCCTTGCCTCATTTTCTCAGCAGGGGAAACGGGCCCAGAAATGGGCTGGCCCAGGGGTGCATAGTGAGGAGGTGAAATGCTGCCCCTGAACTCGGAGGGATTTCATTCACATCTGTTCCCAGGACAAAGCAGCCCAGGGGACCGAGTCTTCCCCAGGGTCCCCTGGATCTGTCACAGGTCTGGGTCTGACCTTCTGCCCCTTGCCCTTGGGCGTCTCTCTCTGAGCATCTCTGAGCCTTGGCATTCTCAGAATATTACCTGAATGTCATTCCTATCTGGGGACAGGAAACAAGAGAAAGCAGAAGTACAGTGTACAGTGACCTGCAGGGGCGGGGCTGAGTGGGTGAGAAGGGAGTGCCTCTGGCTCGGGCGTCCCCGATGCCTGGGCAAGCTGGGATCCTCACTTCCAGTAGCTCCACATTCGGAGACATCTCAGAGCCCTGGCCAGAGGAGTGACCAAAATCTCCTTGCTGCTGAACTGGTGGCGCCAACACTTATTGGTCCAGGTAGGACCAGAGGACATCTGGAGCTCACTATGTTGCCCAGCCTGGGCTTGAACTCATGGTGCTCCTCCTACCTCAGCCGCCCAAGCACTGGAATTACAGACATTTGCCATCACACCCAGCTTGAACATAGGTTCTTTTTACTAAGTTATATTCCCCAGCATTTTTTATTTTTATTTCTATTTTTGAGTCAGAGTTTCACTGAGTGACTAGTTGTTCAGGCTGGGCTCAAATTTGTGATGCTTCTGCCTCTGCCTCCCAGAGTGCTAGGTTTACAGGTGTGCACCACCACTCCCAGTTCATTCCTCAAGTACTTTTCAATTCATTAAATTTTTTGAGAAAGGATCTCACTTTGTAGTTCAGGCTGCCCTTGAACTCACTATGTAGCTCAGGTTGGCCTGAATTCACAGTGATCTTCCTGCCTCAGCCTCTAGAGAGTAACAGTATGTGCCACTACACCTGGTTCTCATATACTTTTAAATCTATTATTATAAATATATTACATATTTTTTAAATTTTACTTGACACATAGTAATTCTACATATTTATGGGGCACACTGAGCCACTCCGATACATGTATAGAATGTGTACTGATCAGACTGGAGCGATCTGGCATATCTATTGCTTCAGACATTTATCATTTCTTTATGTTGGACACATTCAAAGTCCCTCTAACCAGCTATTTTGAAATATACAATTAACTGTTGTCAATGATAGCTACCTTATTGTTTTGTTTTGTTTTGGTACCAGGGATCGAACTCTGGACTCTCAGCTTGTGAGGCAGGCAGCAGAACGACTGAGCTAAATCCCTGGCCCGATAGCTATCTTATTGTACTATAGAACATTAGAAGTTATGCCTTCAGCCCCAAATTCTTCAAGAGCAAGGAAAGAACAGGAGTGGGAGGGGAGCTTGGGGCAAGGAAGCTGAATGTAACAGAATGTAAACAGCTCTCCACTCTGAGAGAGCTGCACAGTACAGATGTGAGTGACAGCACTGGGGCCAGCCTGCACTTTGCTTCAGACCCTGCGTGGCCTGCAGCTGCCCTACCAGGAGGAAGGGGAACCCAGGGAAAGGACCCAGTGGGCATCAGAAGCCCCTCCCCACCTCCAGTCCCAGAGGCAGCTCCATTCACTTCCTTTTCATGTACACCTTGCTATGGCTTCTTGTCAGGGTACTAAGGATGCAGGGCCCAGAGAAGGGGCCACCAACTGCCTGAATGGCTTCACTCCTGACCTGGGCCTTACAGAACAGAGAGAGTGTGCAGGTGTGCAGAAGGCCAGAGAGACAGTACATGCAAATACAAGAAGGAAGGAAAATGCTGGACCAGGATGAGAACAGGAGCACTTAATGACCCTGGATCACAGGAGCAGAACAGAACAGCTTGTGTGCAAAGTGAGATTAAGCCCTGCGAGGACATGGCCTGCCAGGCTGGGGCAGAAAGAATGTCCTGCAGCCAGTAGGAGCCACGACGAGAGGGGTTTGAGCTTGGATGTGGCTGTGCCCAGTGTGGTGGCAGGCTCATTGGTGGGCAGCTCACCCTGTGCCTTTCCCACTCACACAGTACATTTTCCTAAGGGGCCAAATCTAGGGGATGACACTGTAAACTTAAAGCTTTGGCCCTGTGATGATCCAATCAGTGTGTTTATGTGAAGTCAAATGTGTGCATTTGTGATAGTCAGTAAGTATATTGGTGACAAAAGGAAACCCGACTATGTGAACCCAGGGCTGACCCTTTGGCAGTGCAGGAGGGAGGAGAGGCAAGGGTATGGCGAAGATTGCTGAGCTAAGAGTCAGCAGGTGCATCACAGGAAGGACCCAAGCTGAGCTGTCATCTCTCAACTTCACCCCCCTGGTGGCTCTATGTGGTTGGGGGAAAATCTGACAGATCAGAAAGAAAAAACCTAGAAAAGAGAGCACAGATTGGTTTGGATTCTGGTCCTGTAACTGGCAGGCGCCAACCCCTCCCCACCTAGTTTGCTGAGGACCAAATAATAACAGGTGCATAGTGCTGGTCACAACGCGTGGCTCTTCCTTGCCGGTGCCCTTTCCCCTCGACGACTGGGTGGAGGATGCTGAGGGCAGAATCTCTGCTCCTGAAGGATGGGCTGAGACGAACTTTGTAATGATGACAAATACACCCGGGACACCTGCTGGCTGCACACCTCCTGAGGACAGTGGTTGTTGACTCACTTCAGAAGGAGGGGAGAGGAGGGATTAAGCAGTTATGCCTGGTCTAAACACCTCCGCTAGACTGAAAGGGCCTGGAGTTTCCTCACACGGTGGGCACCAGAAGTCTACCACCACCACTATCGCTTCGTACCATGGGCGTCTCCACTCACCTGCCCCCCACTGTCATTTCCGTCTCACAACCATCACCTCTACCACGGCCGTCTGCACCCACCTTAGCCTTTTCAGACATTACCAGGGCCCTGTCCCTACCTCATCACCAGCACGAGTATCACTTCCACGCCCACTGCCATCCCTTCTGCACCTGAACTGCTGCTGTCAACACCTCCACCCAAAGCTCGGGGCTCCGTCCTACCCACACCGCTGGAGGCATCGCATCATTCACAGGC